CCCAACAATTATTTGTATCGCATATTTCAAAAGCAGCTTAAAAGTCGCTGTACGAAACGACATTTTCCAGGAAAGTAACATGCTTTTCTCAAACTCCTTGACCAAGACTTAAACACCTCCTTATCGTTGCCGTAGAAAAAGTGTGACTCAAATTATTTCTTGCACGCTATCCCCACTTGAGAGGAGGTCGCATAACGATAACACAAACTTATGCAGGACTCCAGCTACCTGCTGACCTGAATCCTCAGCTGTGAGGAAAAAATAAATAACTTGAAGAAAAAAAAACGAGATTTGAGTCTATGACAGAAATAAATGAAGTATAAATGGGAGTTCAGCAACTTGTCGCAAAGAATTTTCAAGATCGGATGAAGAGTTTGCTAGATCCATGATTTTTCTAGGATGCAATTCGCCACTACTAATAAGCTCGTTTTTTTCACAGGCACGAAAATCACTGTCATTAAAGAGCCGTTCAGTACGGTTACCTCAGGGAACCTCAAAAGCTTTTTTTACAGACAAATTTGGCAGCGTGAGGGCTTTCCAATCTCTACGTGTCATTTTAGTCATCCTTACAAATAAAGCAGATGAAAGATGAATAAACGAATGTCTTAACAAGATACGCTTTGTTTTAATACCCATCACAACTTTACCTTTCGCCCACATAATATTTTAAACTTATTTGAAATTTCCCCTTTGAAACGATGTAACTTGAGAAATACACAGGGTGTTTTAAACAACGCAGTGGAGCTGACAGCAAAATAAAGAGTTGCTGTATTTATTTGTTTTTCTAGTCGATCAAAGCAGTGGGATAGAGAAAGTGTCCTTTTGCTTCATTAATTAGCCTTTTATTTTTGGTTTTGTTTTCGACTGCTATTTAAAACATACAATGGATCAATTCACCGTTATTCGATACATTAGTGATCAGGCTGAAAAAAATCTACTTAAATTTACTTTTTACTAAAGCTTAGATTTTCTAAAGGATTTTAGAGATCCACAAAAAGTTGCCGTGTTCTTAATTATGTTATTTTGACCTGTTCAGAGCTTTAGAGATATCAACAGTGATAGTAACTCCCCCCCACTCGTGGAGATAAGCTCGGAGAGATAAGTCTTCTTATTTCCCGTTGCTTTTAATCGATATTGCTGTGTAGAATTCAAGATGCAATCTTATCTTTTCGAGATAACACTGTAAATTTGGATTTTCATACAGAAAAAAAACCTATTCACTCTTTAAGGCTAGAACATTTTTATCTCTGGTCTAAAATTTGTTGTTATGGCGAAGCGCGGAGGTAAGGTCGATCGTAATCTCGGTTTGTTGGTTAATTTTCTTACTGGGAGGTTATATCCTCTGGCATCACCGAGATATTAGAGAGGAGGAAATATCACCAATTTCTCTTTGATAGGAATCGCTTGAAAGTGTGAAAAACTAATACGTGTTTGTCACTTTGACAGCTAAATTGAAAACCTTGTCTTCAAACACTGCAGTCGATATCTCTGAGAAAACTGATTGCACTAAACTCACAGAAACGTAACGGTCCTAGACTCACATATAAACTAATCAAAAACCGCAAGAAAGCAGACATACCTTTACAGAATAGGACCAAAAACAGCAACGATCCAAGAGCATTTAATCTCCTCGAACCGTAAACCATTGTCCATAGATTTAATCAAATTCCCTCTGAAAATCCCTGCGCTTCAAAGGTGAGAGTTTCCACCAAAAATAAACATTGACGCTAGGAGTCTGACTCGATGGAGAGCTTTCAACGTGAGGAGTTTGCTCTTCTGAGAGTGTCTCTGGTCGGGTGACGTAAATCACGCTTTCACGACGAACCACTGTTCCAGCGATGAACTTCAGATTCCAATTACGGCACGGAATTTTCGGCAGTTCTGAAGATCATTTACTAAGCCTTCTTGGCATTTGATAATGGCCAGAGTTTAAATGCGGGGCAGGTAGGTGTTGCAGTTTGGTGATAAAATGTAACTGAATACTCAATTGATAGTCCTAAATTTGCTCTCATGTGAGATGTCAGTGTTGAGTACTTTGTGTCGTGTCCATGCGTATATCTGCGATTAGGGTTGGCCTTCCGGGATAACAGGATATGTTCGATAAAGCGAAGATTAAACAACAGAAAAACATGAAATACCGCCTTAAAAAAAGACAGGCAATGCCGTTTAGGCGTTGAAACGGTGATCAGGGAAAATCCTAATTACAACGGCCTTTGGCTCCACTATAGAGAGCGGCATGATACATGGTATGTGCGCCGAAATACGTGCCTAACCTGACGGTTTCCTCATCATTTTAATGAAAACGATGACTTTTCTAGAAGGACACGAACAGTGTTTCTTTTATAATAACACAAAAGGTCGCATGACACCTAACGGGAGTGCCTAAATAGGAAGTTAGCGGATTTGTGATCTCCAACCTTGCAAAAACATAGATGCTGCCAAGAATTTAGCAAAATCAAGAACACGTACCACGCTATCTTTTATGCTCCACGATTTTAACGCCTCGTGGTGGATTAGTCGTAATCTGCTTGTCTTTGCACGCGAATTGAGTAAACATATGCGTGACCACGAAATAGTTACAGCTGTAACGCAGTGCTCACGATGCGTGACGCATGTAATTTTTACGGTTAAGGTCAAGTCAACGAGCGGCTTTTTCCTGATTTCCTGAGTGAAGCAAATCGTTAAAATCAACTACTCAGTAGTTGAAAATCAAATTGAGCAAATAAAAAGAGAATAAAAAACGGTTGATGTTCTCATCACTTTAATAAACTGAGACAGGCGAGACCCCTCACTCTTGTAAGTGAACACTTCGCGTTGCGCAAACAGTCCCGTGCGCCTTCCACGCTCGCGCGTCTCGCCCTTACCATCACGTTCGTGATTCGCGTATCTCCACTCGCACGCGCACACGTATGTCGTGCGGATTCATCCATTACCTCCAAGACATGAAAGGACATTTTTCACTCATGGAAGATCAATCTTACACTTATCATACCAAGACGTGTTTACATTATCATTTGGTGCAGTGATAAGATAATTAAAAAAAAAAAAAAAAGGGCTTTTGTAACCCTTGTAAATTACTGTGCCCAACCTGGCAATCACGTTTCCACTCGTCAGCAGGAAATACGTACTAGAAAAAAACAATTAGCCGAGGGAAGTCTTAGGCTAAAGCAGGCCCAGTGCTCGGTCGGTCGCTGAGGCCTGGAATAAACAGAAGGAAAAAACTGACTTCTCTTTGCTTGGTAAACTCCCGCCCTTGTGTAGCTAAATTTCTTCAGAGCACCATTTAGCAAAGATTATCATGCTTTGCTGCATCTCGTGTCCAGGAGCCTTGATATCCTTAGAAGTGTATGTTTCTGGTAGAGATCAAAGGCTGAAAAAACATATGACATCCCCCACCCCCAGAGAGGAGAAGTTGATATTACGCTGATAGAGGTTGATAATCTTGTTACTCCCAGAAGTGATTATCAGGTCATTTCTCCCTTTAATAGGCGAACAGGTAATGAGTCTACTAAAAATTATATAATAAAAGTTGTGATCCTGATCTGACACCACATTCTAGTAACTAAAAAAGTAAGAAATTGTGTAGCAGATAAAGGGGTGAATAAGCGATCCTATCTATGAAGGATATGATTAGTATAGCATTATGTTCTGTCGAGAAGAAAAAAAATAAGGCCCCATACACAGAATAGGAGCGTTCAAATCGGAAATGGGAAGGTTTGTCGGGGAATTGCCTGCATACACAGGGTGGGAGCGTTCCAATCGGAAAAGGGAAGATTTGTAAGGGAATTTCCTGCCTTGCAAATACATAGATATTGACGATAATTTGACACCTTTATGTTTCCTGAAGTAACGAAACCAATCTAAGACACCTAAACACCTGGATGAACTTTTTTCTTTACTTTGAAACAGCAATTATTTTGTTTTGATCTCCTTAAGCTGGTTTCAGAAATAGCTTCTAGTTTCTCAAAAATGGTGTTCATTTTTCTAAAAAAATTATAATTGATTTCTTTTCTATATCGGTGACCAGCATTTTTTTCCACCGGATTGAAAGCGGCAAGTCGAGATATATCTTTCCGCAAATATTTTCATTCTTAGATTTTTTTCATACAGTTCAGCGCCGCTTTAATTTTTGAAAGTTTAAGGTGGCTCTGAACCGTACGTTTTAAGACTTGGTAGAAAGATTAACTTTTCAAATTTTGATTGGATCTCACTTACTATCTACAGAAGAACAGACGCATAAACGATACCACTATGAACAAGTTTGTCTCTAGGAAAATTGTATACAACAATAAGATTCCGTGTTACCGTGCATCTGTTTAGTAATAGATTCAAGATGAAGTGAAGACTGCAAAGACCGAAGGCCAGATGAGTTAGATGCGAGAATAAAAAGGAGAAGGGAGGGAGGAGAGGGTAAAGGCGCAGTCGAGGGAGGGGGTTTTACAGTTGTGTCGAAATTTGGCAAAATTTAAAACATACTTTTTATTTGCCTATCAAAGAACTCCGTGGATACAAGGCGTCAACAACTGGTTTTTGGCTCATTACAATTCTTGCTTCTCAGTCTATGGATAGCAACACAGGTAGATCCACTGTTGTCTTTGTTTTAAATCATAAATCTCCACTCTCGACTTGACACGTAATGTCACAACGCAAACGATATGTGTATGTTGTCTTTCAAAAAGTTTAACATATGAACTAAAAGTTATATCACAATAAAATATCTTTTTAGAAACAAGCCAACATTGGACCATTTTAAAACAGATACTGGCTGACTTGATCAGGTACATAAGTAGTGGTGATGGCTATAAGATGTCTAAAGAGAGGTTTCTCTGTCCGGGTCTGGATGAGGTTTGGGGACAAATTTC